TCATATGTGGTGTATGAAAGCTTCCTATAACCGATGATCTCCTTGTAAAGTAAACGAATCAAAAAATACAATGTGATAACATTTTATTTAAAAAAAAATTATTTTTTTTTTAAATCGTTCAACTTCCATTATATTTATTGTAATATGGGGTAGACCTCGTTCAGTTTGAACGATATATATATATATATATATATATTTATATATATATATATATATATATATATATATATATATATATATATATATATATATATATATATATATATATATACATATAAGGGGCGTAGCTAAAGGGGGCGGATGTCTCTGGGCGCCAGACTAGTTAGAGGCGCCAAAATGTGAATCATTCTATCATGCCATACAACTATTGAGCTACCCCTGCACTCTGGTATCTGCTCCTGAGTGCGCCCAGCTTGTGAAAAACACTTCCATGGCGAGAAATGTGATCTGGACTGCAGCTTTTTATGCCAGGACCAGGACTGCCACCCCGAGACCGGACACTGCTACGAATGTCCACCTGGGAGGATAGGCCACGACTGCAAACAAGGTGACCGAATTTTTAAATTAAAAAAAAAACAACAACTAAATCTTATTGTTAGTTTAGAATTTAGAACAAATGCGAGCCCCACCTGCACCCCAGTTGAAGTAATCAGGACAAACAAATCTATAGATTATATTTATATTTCTTTTAAAGGGCATGCGGGGGGAACTCTCTAGCTGCGAGTCAAATTCAAGATGTAACAGAGGCATGGGAGCCATGAATGGTGAACAACTCCCCTGAATTTATTATTTTAAAACTTGATTTCAAACATCATGTAGATTTACTGCCAATGCAAGTAGTAAATCATTACTATTAAACAAAATAGAAAAAGACATCTGCAATCGAAAATTTAATTTATACGTTCGGTTTTTTCCCTCCATTTTTTTAGATAATTTATTATTATTATTTTTTTTTAAGGGAGCGTGAGCCATACTTTTACCACCCCTGCATTAGATGACGATTATCATTAATAATTTATTTATTTTATTGTCAGTTGTCAGAGATAGCTCGATGATTAGCATTTTATTCCCAATACAATATATATATATATATATATATATATATATATTCCGGACATTATGTCTACTTGAAAATAGAGTATGGAGATGACCGATATGACCATCATTTCTGTATATTACATTTATTAGATGACTATTATCAATTATAATATATTTATTTTATTGTCAGGTGTCAGAGATATCTCTATGATTAGCATTTTATACCCAATACAATATATATATATATATATATATATATATATATTCCGGACATTATGTCTACTTGAAAATAGAGTATGGAGATGACCGATATGACCATCATTGCTGTATATTACATTACTACTGTATATTACATCATTACTGTATTTTACATCATAACTGTAAGTTACATCACTACGAGTCCTCATTATCCCATACAGCGTACAAAAGAAATGGGATCCCGTGTTATCAAGTCCATGACAAGTACGCGGGGTTCCCACTCAGGTGTTGATTGGTGATCTCAAACTGTTCGGTCATGGGATGCACTAGTACAACTGCCGGTCAAAGAGGACGGCGGTTTCCCCCAGAGGTCATATCTTAGATTTCGGCTAATCAGCCAACTGATAGTCATCTACAAGCTATCAACAATCCTTCCCTAGATGAAGGGGAGAGAAATGTGCCAAGACTTTTAAAGGACACGACAAAGAAACGCAGTTCCAGAGTGGGTGGTGGGAGGGGGGTGGGGTCCTCTCTTCGAATTTAATTCCAGATAAACTTACGACGCTGATCTGTGTGAATGTATTATATGCCTGCTATTTTTTTTAAAATTTCCTTTCCCAACCAGTTTGCGGTAAAGGTTTTTACGGTCACCAGTGCAAGCTGGCCTGCTCCGATGGGTGCGACAGCCGAGGCTGCCATTACGATAACGGATTCTGTTTCGGCTGCAAGTCTGGCAAGACGGGATTCCTATGTGAAGATGGTAGGCACGGCGATAGATTATTGCAATTTATAGATTTATCATTTATGTTTATTACTTTAGGATTAAGTAATTGAGAAGAAGCTAAAGTACTAAGGTCATTTTCGATTACTTATACTTACTACGTTGTTTTTGTTGTTGTTTTTATTTGTTGTTTTTTTGTGTAGCATGACGTTTTGATCTAGACTTAATTTAATGACAATATTTTTTAATCATTGCTAGAGTTTTCATAATGCATATTCACGGGCCTTTGCTTATCCTTATGACGCACTCGTTTTGTTATAAATTGATACATGATGTGGTTTTTAATGTGAGTAAATAAAAGTAAGATGCATGTTTGAAATAAGGATCTATACTATTGTTCTAGATAGCTTCTATGTAATGCTCTATATAATGTTCTATACAATGATCTACAATAATGTTTATTATTATTATTAGGTGGTTTTATATAGCGCAGTACCCCAGCCTAGGGCTAGTCTCACACAGGGACGTGCTTGCACATGGAAACCCGAGACGAACGGAGGCCCACCCGCACACCGGAGATTGTAATAACTGCCCCAAAAGGCCCATGACGAATGCTCGTCGCGTCGTCGTGGGCCAGCACGTCCCTGGTCTCACAGCGCTTCACATAAAGATTAGCTATTGCAGAAACGTATACATTTTTAAAAAAGTTTGTAAAAAACTACCCCTCATCCACCCAAGTACCCTTGTCTGGCTGTCTGGCCATGGGTATAGCACCCATGGGCGCCCGCACTTAGTGGCAAGGTGGGGCACTTGCCCCCCCCCCCTGGATTGATTGGATAAAAAAAAATTAGACAAAAATAGACAAAAAATTTATTAAAATAAAGAGAAAATAAAGAGAAAGTAACTCCTGTCCGTTTGTTCACCATACAAATACATTACAGTAAATTAAAACTATATTAAAACCTTACTAAACATTTTTTGCCCCCCCTGGAAAGTTAATTGATTTTTTTTGCCCCCCCCCCCCTGGAAAGTTTTCTGCGGGCGCCCATGATAGCACCCAGAAGCACCGAACGTTGTTTATCAGTTAGAGGGGGTCAAAATGAATCGTTTCAGTAAAGTTTGAAGAGATGGGTCTTGAGGGCAGTTTTGAAGGCTGTGATGGTTGTTCCATATTATGGTCTATATGTTCTATATAATGTTCTATATAATAATAATGTTCTAGATTCTTTGTTTAACTTTTGCGAATCTGAAATACTCTGATAGTTTATGCAATGTACCCAAAACCGTTTTATTTCAAATGTTACCTGTGTGGTAACTATTTAGTTACTTTAGAGATGCTGCGATAATATGAGATACCGCGGTGCGTTTTTAGACAATTTCAAAATGAATAAAGCAAGAGGAGTCCGTTTCCTCCACGAGAGGACATTCCCGAAATCGTTTTCCACAGTATTTCGTAATAAACCTAGTACCCGATGCTTCTCTGACGAGTATTTCAAAGTCGGAATAACAAGTTAAGGTGAGTGCCGCCCGGGATGGGTCCCTTGCATTATTATGTTTTTTAACGATTTTATTATTTTTTTAAATTTAATTGCCAGATTGCAAGAAGTCGAGAGTATGGGGCCTAGACTGCGTCTTTACATGTCCTAAACAATGCAAGCGTCCACCACCCTGGCAGAGCTATTTTGACAGCTTTCATTAAATGCAAAACATCGGGGTAACATCAGGAAACACCGGGACACACGAGGGCACGGCAGGACACAACAAGACACAGACAACGCACTAGGACACATCAGGATGCAACAGGGCGCACAAAGACGCACCGAGACACGAATAACCTGCTAGGACACATCCTGGTGCACCAGGTGGCACAAAGACGCGCCGAGACACACACAACATGCTGGGACACATCCTGATGCACCAGGGGCACAAGAACGCGCCGAGAAAGACCAGGGCATGGCTAGTCAAATGTTTTGACAGCGTGGACAAAGTTTGAATAAATTTGTTTTGCTTCAGGCGAAAATTTCTGAACCACGAAGCCGAGAGGATGCATTTGTCAAGTGACCCGCCAAATTTAAACATGCAGATGTGCTGTGCTATTCGATTTCAAAACTTCTACAGTTTGTTATTTAGCCAATCATTATCCAAGTTGTATTGCAACACATTTGAATAATCTCCATGACTTTTTTCATAGTCTTGGAAAAATTTAGCCGCGGCACACCTAGCTTGTTCTCGCGGCACACCACTTGCAGAGCTCTGCTTTAAGGGAATCTTTTGTGGGGGGTCGGGGGTTGACGACATCCAACAGTAACAACAATTTATTATGCTACAATAGATCGATGGTGATTACTATGCAGTGACGTAAAAAGAGAAGACATTGTTGTTACGTGTGAGCACCAGCAGATCTCGAGTATTTTTTACACCGTACTTAAGTTGAGACGGTTTCATTTCTCGAAAAGATTGGTTTTGAAAATGGTACGCACCAACGCCGTTGCGTTATGAAAAAAATATTAAAATATATATAAATATAAATATAATAAATATCATTTATCGTAGTTATCGTGGATTATATTTTGCACGCTACTGAACTCATTATTGAACCATATTTTCATTCAAACATTTAATACTAATAGTAGTACAAGTGAACATTGTCGTAAAATGTCTCTTAAGAATGTTACTTTTTTTAAATTCAAAATCAGACCTAAATTAAAACCAACCAAAGAAAAAACCGGAATCACATTTGTGGAAGAAACACAGAGGCCCTGGCTTGTTGTTGAAATTTGAAGGAAGTTAATATCAATAATAATGAGCATTGTCGTAAAATGCCTCTTAAGAATGTTACTTTTTTTTTATTCAAGATCATAACTAAAAAAAAAAACCAACAAAAAAATCACATTAGTGATTAGTGGAAGAAACACAGGGACCCATGTTAAATTTGAAGGAATTTAATATCAATAATAATGAGCATTGTCGTAAAATGCCTCTTAAAAATGTTACTTTTTTTTTTATTCAAGATCATAACTAAAAAAAAAAACCAACAAAAAAATCACATTAGTGATTAGTGGAAGAAACACAGGGACCCATGTTGGTGGTTGTAATGTATTGTCAGTATTGTCGTAAAATCTCTCTTAAATTTGTCACATTTGTTATTCAAAATCATACCTAAAATAAAAACCAATAACAAACAAACAAAATCCCATTAGATAGAGATTTCATCTACAATTTAGTATATAGATAATGAATAGAGTTTTTTAAATAAAATCAAGTATTTCAAAACATGAGTTTTGGGATTAAATTATACTTTAATGTCATGAGCTAGTTTATCCCAAAAGCCTTTAAATACTGCTTCTTCCTCGCGTTCATCGGCCTGCGGGTAGAGTTTGTAGGTGTTGCTCCTGATGTGGTACAGGAGGTCGGTGCCCAGGTCACGGGACGGGATGGATTCTTTAATTAAAATGACCAGTACTTGACGTCCAGTGTGGACAGACTCCATGTTGGCCATCTGGAAAAAAAAAATAATTAGAAATTAATGTAACACATTTCGATCACCTAAGTTAATACAGTAGAGCCCCATAAAAGAATTGCCTGAAGTAACGGGAATTCTGATATAACGCGGTCGCAGCATTGAATACGAAGTATAAAATAAATGTCCCCTCAAAACTTCAGAGTTTTTACAGCAATATGACTAAAAAAAAAATATTTAAAAAAACAGTGGAGTGCCCATGAACTCAATGTTGTTTGCAAATCGCAAAGACACGCACGCAGCGGTATCGCTAACTTCTTCCCACTCGTCAAGATCACGATCGATGGGAGCATACAACAGTTATGCAAGGCAGCTGTGAGAACTCTTATTTCCGTGACTAAATAGCCTGTAACAAAAAATTGTGCGGCATAACATCTTCTTATTCAATGCAAACGTATCCAACGCTGTGTTACGCAAACAAGTCCAACGCTGTGTTTGTCAAGTCATACGACATCATTGTGTTTCGTGGACGCCTAGTGCTTTATTTTTTTTATTTTTTTAGTCACATGACTGTAAAACCTCTGAAGTTGTATTGAAAATTTATACTTTTATACTTAGTAATATTCTTTAAGACCACCTTGCGGTAGGCGTCTCCGGTTCAACAGAACACTTTTGTATTGAAGTTGGTAAGTCCCATACAAATATTGTAAACACACGAATTCTAATGAAAACTATTTTGTACGGGTCACAAAAATTTGATCGGATTGCATTTCTTTGATAAAAACAAAAACAAAAAAACTTTGCTTTTAATGTATTAAGAAATTGCCATAAATGCTTCTGGAAATATATAATGTGTTCCATCTTTACATTCATAAAGTGTATAGCTTTTATTTAAACGAACTTTTTTTTTTTTGTAGTCGGTTTACATTTCGAGCCGTGTAATTTGATGTTGGCCTACGACGACTTCGCTCGGACTTACTTGGAGCTCATAGTTGCACCACTTGCTGGCCACGAACTTCTGCGTGAGGACCACCAGCGTCTTCCTGCTCTCGTGGACGGCTGTGACGATGTTCGAGGCGATGTAGTCTCCGACTGAGAAATCTCGTCCGTGTATGCAAAGAGTCAGACCACGGGCACACAACTCTGTAACGGGGAAAAAATAAAACCTAAAACTGGCAGGATGGCCTCCAAAAGTCATGACTTCGACGTAGGGTGCTATCAATATCCTCTACCGGAACCATGGAAGTTCTTTCAGTGCTTTTCAAAGATACTTTGACTCGAAAAAAAAAAAACAAACTACACCCCCCCCCCCCCCCCGAAACCCCCAGTAGCAATGTCTAAAGTAACTTCAAATGATGATTATTCTTTATATATATATATATGTATGAAAAAAAAGACAAATCCTTCGTCCTCACTTCAATATGAGACAAACCCTTACCTCAAATTACATGAGAAATGACAAATCCCTCCTCCTCACTGGCACATGAGACAAACGCTTGCCTCTCATTACATGAGACATGACAGATGCCTCATCCTTACACTGTCACATGAGACTAACGCTTGCCTCTCATTACATGAGACATGACAAATCCCTCATCCTTACACTGTCACATGAGACAAACGCTTACCTCTCATTACATGAGACATGACAAATCCCTCATCCTTACACTGTCCCATGAGACAAACGCTCACCTCTCATTACATGAGACATGACAAATCCCTCGTCCTTACACTGTCCCATGAGACAAACGCTCACCTCTCATTACATGAGACATGACAAATCCCTCCTCCTCACTGGCATATGAGACGAACACGTCGTACCGAAAGTTTCCAAGCCGCTGTGCGTTGTCTCGGACATTGAGATTTCGGTACGCCATGTAGTACAGATAGCGAAGCTTCCAGCGAAATCTGAAACGTAATAGTTTCATTCAGTTCAAAAATTACCAATAGGTAACAGTTGGTTTGTTGTTGTTTTTTTTTCTGTTTTTTTTAAGAGCACTTTGATTACCGGTATGTAACATATTTTTTTTTTTGGTGTGTGGCGGGGGTTGTAGCATTGTGTACTATCACACAAACAGTTGAGTGGCTGGAGTTTATGACGCCCTGGGCTGTTATTGAATTTTCCGCCCCTTAACTGAGGGTAAAGAATTTATTTTATTACTTTTTGTGTGTGTGTGTGTTTTTGTAAAGTAAGAAACTATGAAGAAAACACATCAAACATTAACCCAGTGGTTCTCAACCTTGTTAATGCCGCGACCCTTTAATACAGTTCCTCATGTTGTGGCCACCCCCAACCACAACGGTGGAGTTTATGTGTTTTCCGGTGGTCTTAGGCTACCCCTATGAAAGGGTCGTTCGACCCCCCCCCCCCCCCCCCCCCCTCCCCCCCGAAGGGGTCGTGACCCACAGGTTGTGGACCGCTGCATGAACCCTATAAAAAGAACATCATTATTATATTTCGTTGCAATGGGCTGAAATTTCCGCCCCTTTAAAATCATGACACCACCCCCCCCCCCCCCCCGGGGGTTGGAATTTCTTCCCCCTTCGCTCTTCCTACGCTAGTGCCCAGGAAATATTTTAGATTGAAATTCATGTCTTGTGAAAATGAAATGCTTTCCCAAATCTCGGTGCTGTGTGCTTTCAATTCTTCTGTAGCCACGTTAATAAAACCTACACTTGTATTTTGAGCCTACCAAAACATTATTGTAAATTTTTTTTTTTAATGATGTTTTCAGATATTAACCAAAGTGAAAGAATTAGTCATTTAGCCGATTTAGTGGTTAAAGATTCAGAGTTAACTTGTGGAATTAAAACAACACTTGACAGTACTTGACTTTGTTTTCCTGTAGCTCTCGACAATTTTCTTAAATTCTCCAGTCTCAGTGTGCCAGCTGTGGTGACTGGTAATGGTAAAAATGTTGAAATTTAATTTCGAAGCTAAGCATTCTGCCGTTGCTTTATCGAATGGCTGCGGCTATTCGGACCCGGGTCCGAGAAGCGAGAGTTTGGGTTTATTAAAAAATAATGTTAAAATTATTGTTGGGTTTGTAAGACAAAATTTGTTATTAAATGAAAGATAATTGAATGGACTATATGTTTGTAAACTTACTTCTTAAGTTTAACTAGATTAAATACCACAAATGACATCCAAATAGCATTTAGTAAAATGGAACCGGAAACGCATCGCCGCTATTCGGACCCGGGTCCCTTTAGACTAATGCTATTCGGATATCACTTGTGGTAGTTTATTTTAGTTAAACTGAAGACTTAAGTTTACAAACATATAGGCACTTCAATTGTCTTTCATTTGATACCAAATTTTGTTTTACAACCGAACAATAATATATTTTTTTAAAATTTTAATCCCAACCTCTAACTTCTCGGACCCGGGTCCGAATAACCACTTCCTTATCGAATTCTCAGCGCACCAAAGCATTAGAAAAAGTGAGTGTCTAGTGTTAGAGACACCCCAGGTGACTCCTGACTTTCTCATCCGTCAATGGATCGCCCTTTAAGATACCTCAGCCGGCAGTGGTTTGAATGCAAATTTAAGAGCAATAAAGCTGTCAAGGTCTTTTATTCACTATCTCATTATCAATATCTCCTTACCACTCTCTCCTGATCCCTATCTCATCATTCTCTTCTGATAAATCTATCTCTCTCTCCTCATCCCTATAACCTTATCATTATCTCATGATCATTCTCTCTCTCCTGATCCCTGTCTCCTTATCGCTATCTCCTTATCCCTATCTCCTTATCTCTCTCTCTCCTGATCGATATCTCCTAATCCCTATCTCTTGATCCATATCTCCTTATCGCTATCAACTGATCCCTATCTCAGGATCCCTATCTATTTATCCATATCTCCTTGTCCCTATTTCTCATTGTCCCTATATCTCCTGATCCCTATCTCTTTATCATTCTTTCCTGATCACTCTCTCCTTATCTCTCTCTCCTGATCACTATCTTTTTATAACTATCTACTTATCCCTTTCTTCTGATCCATAATCTCTTAATCCCTATCTGCTTATCACTATCTCTTTCTCCCTATCCCCTCATCCCTATCTCTTTATCACTATCTCCTGATCACTCTCTCTTTATCACACTCTACTGATCCCTATCTCCTTTTCCCTATCTCCTTATCCCTATCGCCTTATCCCTATCGCCTTATCCCTATCTACATTAATTAGTGATCAGGCGATTATAGTGATCAGAAGATAGTGATATGTAGTCAGGAAATAGTGATCATGAGATTAGTGATATGTAGTACAGATCACTATCTTCTGATCACTATCTCCTGATCACTATCTCTTGATCACTATGATCACTATCAATTGATCACTATCTCATGAAAACCAGTAAAGAAACTCACCTGTATAAAGCTCCAATCAATACAAAAGACAACAGGCACAAAGTGCCAGCCAAGACAACCGAAAACAACGTGCCGTGCTCGGGGCACTTTTTCCCCAGAGACCGGAGCGTTTCCGAATATTGGTCGCGTATACACTTGATCGTATCATTATCATCGGAACACATGTACTGTGAAAAGCTCTGGTCGAAGGCTGGAGATTTGACCATCCATTGCAGAAACTCGAAGTTCTCGCAGTCGCAACGTAACGGCGAGAGAGATAGATCAACTTGAACGCCGGCCGTTGTGTTACTCAGTGTATCAATATGATGTCTGATGTCGAGGGGAAAGTGCGTTATCTCCGATCTCGACAGATTCAGCAGTTTCAGCTTGCGCATATGGGATATGCTGACGGTGAAATTCCACATACTGTTACCTTGCAGATTGAGGATTTCTAAGTTGTCAAGACCTTTGAACATATCTCGCGGCAGGCTTCTCAGCTGGTTCTCTGATAAATCCAGACTTGTAAGATTTGAGAGATCTTCGAAGAGGGAAAAATTACCATGGGCATTTTTTTCGAATAAATCTGCGAGGTTGTTGCCTTCGAGATTCAGAGTTAGGAGAGAAGGAAAGTACTTGAAAAATGCTGGCCGGATTTCCGAAACCAGCACGCGTCTTATTTCTAAGTATTTCAACTTGTTAAAACCACGAAAAGGACCTGTCAGAGTAGGAAAATAGTTGTTACTGAGAATTAAATTTTCCACATTGTTTGCCGAATTCACCTCAAGCTCGGTAAGGATGTATTTCAATCCAGCCGTTGATATATCGATTGTGTTCAGTTTTAACGGGAATGTTAGATTCAATTTTTCCTTTTCATCCACGCCGTTGTCCGGAAAATTCTCATCAAAGAACAAAGTCTCTGCTTGCAAATGCGGGAAATTAACTGGAATATTTGAGAGAAAATTCCAGCCATTTAACTTTAATATTTCTAAGTTTTTTAGTAATATCAATTTCTTGACATAATCTCCAAATACAAATCTATTTGATCCCATTTCAACATATCTGAGGCGCCGTGGTAGTTTGGCAAATACGTCTGCGTCGATGTATTCAAAACAATTATTCCTTGCCTCAAGAAAAGTTAGATTTGTGGGCAAAACGTCAGCCAGCGATGAATTCACGGTTATTCCTAATGAGAAACGGCTAATGACGGCAGTGGCAATTAGAGCACGGAGATCGGACTTGGACTCTTTTAGGACGGACATGACTTGAGTGAATTTCTCTAACCCGATCAAGTAGTTGTTGTGGATGTCAAGTACCATGAGTTTCTTGAGAGGGAGGAAGATGTCTTTCGGCAGCGAAGTATGTTTCATATGACAGCTGCTTATGTTTAATTTCGTAAGCTGGCTCAGATTGACAAATGTCTCCCTGCTTAGTATACTCAGGTTGCAGAATCCCTCAAACCCGGATAAACTCAGGGTACGAAGTGACTTCATCGCAATGAAGCCTTCCCCAAAAGTTTTGTTGCTGATGCCGTCCATGTGGAGAACTCGAAGCGTGGTCAGGTCTCCCAGGGCTTCGTCAGGGTACTCATAAGTGTCTAGGGATTTCTTCGTGCCTAAGTTGATGTATAGCACTAGCAAAGAGTTGAGAGGCTTGAAGACGCCTCTAGGGTAAGTTCCCCGTGTCATCTCTAGGCTGTTGTTCCTCAGATTGAGAAATATTAACTTGGAGAGACAGACGAATGACTCGGTATTCAGGCGGTTGATTTGATTGGCTTCCAGAATCAAAATCTGCAGCGTCGGGTACACGCAAAAAGTTTTATTCGGAAGCAGCTCTATGCTATTTGTGAAAAGATCTAGAACCGTGATGTACGTGGGCAAATTGTCAGGGATGGATTGAAGTCCACTGCCGGAGCAATGACATGTTGTCAACACACAGTTGCAGGGTTTTGTGGACTCTGAAGTGTTAATTTTTCCGTAAAGATTCATGTTTTTCGAATCGGTGTTCTGTTGCTCCTTCTTGAAATCAAACGTACTTTCGTGTTGCGTTGTGGCCAGGGCAGTTGAAGTAACGACAATTATTATAAAAGTTGAATATGCCATATTGGATTTTTTTTTTTTTAATGATTGACCGGTTATTAACTTCCTCCTAGCCTGAATGATTTTATCTCAAAATATTTTGATGTGGACTTTTTTTTTTTTTAAAACACGTTTTTGTCTTTTTTTGTTTTCTTATTTTTGAGTGTTTGTTTTATTT